TATTCCTCCTCCTTCTCCTCCTCCTCTTCTTCTTCTTCTACTTCTTCTTCTTCTTCTTCTTCATTCGCTTTGAACCAGGACGAATTCCAATTTTCGCGATGAGCACAAGCGTATTCGACTTTTAAATGAGTTTTCGCGGCGGAATTCGCAATTACCTGTTTTACCTGTTAGACAGACGAATTTTCCCTCCGAGGGAAGAAATTTTTATCCTATACAAATCGCGTATTTGGTATTGAAACTTCCTTTTTTTCTTTTTTCCAACAAAGCAATTCACTTTATCAAACTATCCATGGCCACGTATATAACTATCATCTATCATATTTTTATCTTGATTATCTTTTTTTTGTTAAACATTATTTGCATTGTGTCTTATACTTTTATCTTATAACATCTTTGTGTGAGTGCTGGATACTATCAATTGAAGTATTTAGTAGAAACGAAATATTTTATTACTAGTATGATTGTTTCGTTGATTTAATTGATTTTTATTTAGTAATCACATTTAATAATAAATTATATTTAATAATTATAACATTTTTCTTTCTTACATTCTACAATTTTTGTAGGAAGGATAAAACTCAAAATGATAATCAATATACAAAAAAAAAAAAAAACAATATTACGTTATTTCTTTGTCAATATATATTGACAAACACATATATGCATTAATAGTTATTGCTGGGAACTTTTATCAAACGCATATATGAGTTCATAACACTCAGAAGGTTCATTTTTTTTTATCCTATTGCAAATATATCTATCTATTAATCAATCGTATACTTTTTTAGAGCAACAAGAACAATCTTGTTGTTTGCACACAGCAATCGTCAGGGTTTCGTCAGGATTTCGTCAGGGTTTCGTCAGGGTTATGGTGACAGTATCAAGTGAAAGAAAATAGAGACTGTTTTGAATCTATGTTAAATTCTATATCAGCCCATGTTCCACCGAAATCCAATTGTGACTACTTTTTATAAATAAAATGTTTTGAATTTACAATGTGTTTCGATTTCAAATAAAGTTTTTTATTCTACGATTTGTCGCAACAATTTAAGGGTGTAGATTTGTGCGCATTAGCGTAATTTTTGCTGCGGTGGCGTTAAACACGTAAGTACCTTTTATTGTGTTACAAGTTGCATAATGGATTGTTTTTTGTAAAAATGTACTTTGGAAATATTAATAAAAAGAAAAGAAAAGAAAAGAAAAAACAAACCAATATCTAATCTAATTTTTGGATTTATTTTCTTATCGAAAATAACAAAAATAAATAAATAAATAAATAAAGAAAGAAAGAAAGAAGGAGATGATAAAGAGGGAGAAATACGAAAGGTGTTTAACGTTAGCTTAGAACTTGAAAGCAACAACGGGGCCGTGGAAGCGAACAAGCTCATCGAGGACATGGAAGTGAAAGCTCGGAGACAGAGGGTGGAGAAACACAAGGGCGTAACGCTCTGCATGCTCATAGGGCTTCCCGCCCCTCTATTGGCCCACTTTACTAGTAGCTCCCGCATGGTTTTTCTTTTTTTTTCTTTTTTTTTTTTTTTTTTTTTTTTTTTTTTTTTTTTTTACGCTCGTTACAACTCATCATCGTTTTCGAACTACTACTATTACTACTATTACCATCCCTTCCTCTTCAAACCCTTTATTGTTTTTGTTTGTTTTTTGCTTTTTCTCTATCTTTCTATCTTTCATGGTTTTTTTTTTCTTCGTATATAGACGATCGGAAGTCGAAGGAATAAAATAAAAGGGGACGGTGGGTGGGGGGGGGCGGTGGAAAGTTTTTATAGAATGGAAGGTAAAACTTGAGCGACTATGGGCGCCATAAAGACGCCTAGACGCAACCCTGGACTTTCATCCTCAAATAGAGAAAGGAAAACTATCGACCAACAACGTTCACGTTAGATTCTCATCGAAATTACTCCACCTCGATGGGGCTACTTCGATCGACTAGCTGTTTCAGTTTGGTTTAGAGTTTGGATAAACGTGACTAGAAAGTTTGTTTATTTTCCTTTTTCCTCTTCCTCTTCCTCTTTTTCTTTTTATTTGTTTGTTTGTTTTTTTTGTTTTGTTTTTTTTTTTACAATTAATTTCTCTTGCATCGACCTTGCTCGGTGTGTGTTCGTTTACTTTGAAAAAAGTTTAAAAAAAAAACATTCTTTTTAGGAGAAATTCAACGAAAACGATGAATCTTCTCATTACTTTTACATAATGTAATACTTGTTACTTTTTACGATGGATAAAGATTGAATAAAAGATCGGTATCTAATAAATCATAATTTAAAAAGAAAATCGTGCGTTAAATTTTTTGACATTATTTTCAGACAAATCATTAAATATACTAATTTTCGTGGATTGATTGAAATGTTGTTTAATAAATAACAACAACTTTTTATTTGTTTCAATCGTTAAATATATTATTTTAATTAAAAAAAAAAAAAAAAAAATATGAATACTTCGAATTTTGATATTTGTAATATGCATAAAAATAATATACGTCCAATGTGAAAATATTGTAATGAATAATAATTCAAATTTGCATATTAATATTTAGTTTTTTACACAAATATTTGATAAATTTGCCAATAAATTGAACGTATGTATACATGTATATATATATATATATATATATATATATATATATATATATCCATGATAAATTAAATTTGTTTTCCTGTTATCATTGATAAAAGTAAATTTTCTTCGATAACATTGAAATATTTTGTCGTTAAAATATTATAAAATAAAGGGGAAAAAAGAAATCAATGTAAAAGATGAAATTATTCGCTTTTGTAAAAAGGAGGATAGTAAATCTTTAACACGTTAGTGAATTCGATGAAAGAGGAAGTAAAGAAAAATCGGAAAATCTTACAACGTGTGTGGGTACTTTGTCAACATTCTTAGAGAATTCTAAAGAGAAGAAACTGGAGTAAGAAAACGTCAAACATCGCGAAACTGTGGCGCCAGAAGGAGAAAAAAGAAAAGAAATAAATGAAAAAGAAACGAAACGAAACGAAACGAAATGAAATGAAAAGAATAACGTAGAAAGGAAAAGACACAGGAAAAGGGAGTAGATAATGGGCTCGTAAAGGTAAAATCGCACGTACAAACTTCGTAAGGGTGAATCCTTGAGCTACAATCTTCATTATAGACACCCACTGACCTATATTATTTCTCTTAGATTTTTCTTAACATAATTTCCCGAAAGACAACATATTATAATTTTAAATCTATTTTTTTAATTGTTAAATGAATCTTGTACTCAAAAATATATATATATATATATATATAAGATATAATGCATTTGTATAAATTTTGCATACATTCTACTATACGTAAGAGTATAATCATAATGAAAATATAATAAATATCTGTGAAATAAGAAATATTTTTACATAAAAATTGTTTTGTTTTGTTTTTTTTTTTTTTAAACTAACCATTAATTTAAAAACATGTGTGCAGATCACACGTGTTACAAATAAAATCTTCAAAAAACTAAGACGAATAGAAAATATCTGCTGTAGGATAATTGTATTCTCTTCTTATTTAGTATCGCGGCCGTTTCATTGCCTCCCACCGCTCCGTTACATAGCCGCCTAACCGATCCGTTACATTTTTTCAAATTACACCCATTCTAAAGAAGTTTTCACTTCAATAATACTTATATCTCATCAGTATTAAATTTTCATTCCGTACACAATACTCGTATAATACGATCATGTATAACATATGTTCCATCGTATCTATTAGAATAAATATTTCAATGATATACCTAGGTTACTATAAAATATTTATCATCAAGTATCAAGAATTCTATACGACTCTTTAAATCCTCTTCTACCCTTTTTATGGGGTGCGAAAGGAAAACATGCGAAAGGTTCAAGTCAAAGTTCCTGATATCACGTTCTTACATCTCAATACTTTTTCTTGTACTTTTTTTTTTCTTCTTCTTCTTCTTTTTCTTTCTTTTTTCCTTCCTTTATTTTAAGCTCGAAGCAATACGTGGTGATTTTTATCGATCTTCCTTCCTACTTATCGTTAGCTTAATCATTGCACGCTAAGTCGACACGTCAAGTCGCCAACGTTTGATCGAACTTACTCACTCACTCTCACTCTCTCTCTCACTCTCTCTCTCTCTCTTACTACTCGATAATTCCTTTTCTTTTCTCTCTTTTAAAAGAAAAGAATATTTCGAGGCGAAAGCAAAGGAATAAAAAAAAAAATACTTATCGTCGAGGATTATTAACATCGCGTGATCTTTCACGATTCTTCTCAACCCTTATATATATGTACATATTCGCATATTATATTATATATATATATATATATATATAGGGCCGAATTTAAAAGTGTGCAGAGAGACCCTCTTAATTATTTGAAAATCAAGATGAAATAAAATACATGAACTAGGGAGTGCATCGCATAATTAATTACCTAACGAAAAATTTATATAAAGTAACATATATATATATATAAATATATAAATATATAGTATAAAAAATGTTCATATCAATTCAAACAATGATCATTTGAAATTAATCATTATTTACAAGTTATATATTATATAAGCAAAAGTTTCATTTCGTTATAATCAATTTGAAAATAAAAATTGTTAAGATTCGTGATCATTAATCCTTCGATGCCTACCCTCTTTAAATCCGACCTCACATATAAATAAAACCTGTATGCTCGTTTCGTTGATCATAAGTACAATACAAGAAAGAAGCTTTTCATGTTACGAACCAGTAATACCAAGGAAAAATCTCTTCTCGCCCACGTAATTGCCGATTGTGACGCGATAAATCTCGATTATCCTATTATCCCTACCCCTTTTTGACGTCATTACGTCGTTTGGATAATTCATCCTTAACGTATACGTATATGAAATAAAATGAAGGAAAAGAAAGAACGACAATGAGAAAGATAGAGAAATAGAGAGAGAGAGAGAGAGAAAAAAAAAGAGAGAAGAAAAAGGGAAAGAGAGAAAAAAAAACTGATGAACTCACTCGGTTTGATTATCCTCAAAGGTGAGAGATCCTTCGGTATGAACATACTGCTTTCCCGGTTTCGCAGTTCCTTCGATCGTACGATAAGGAACGATGACGCGTCCTCTGGCGCCACTGTATCTCACCACCCTCAAAGGATATTGTCCTACGCTTTCAACGAGTTCGATGTCCCTCTCAGGAAAGCCAAATATTCCGCTGTGATCATCATCCAATATCATAACCGTTGCCAAACTCGGTGACACCAACATAGCTGGCTGCGAAACGTTGCTCAATCTGAAACGAAAAATCATAGAAATTTATTTTGCATTTTGTTATTCTCTTTCTTTGCATTTTCTGTCACGCCAATAAGAATTTAATTTGTTTTCTTTTTTGTGTTCTTTAATAAGAATTCTTGTTTATTAAACACCAGTTAAATAATCATAATTATTTGACTTATATTTAATTCTATTGTATTTAAAAGAAGACAACGAATTAGCGTGTATTTTTATTCGATTATCATTTTCATACAAAGAGATGAAAGAAATAGATGAAGATGATGAAGAAGAAGAAGAAGAAGAAGAAAAAGGGAAAGAAAAAGTGTAAAAGTATTCGTCTCTCGTTAGTGAGAAATATGCGTCGGTGGTGCGAAAGTGGCTCGTTCCACAAACGAGCAATTTGGTAGCTCTTAATCCGAGTAGGAAGTACTCGTCTGAAGCATCACCGCTACACTCTACTCATCTCTACTCGGCTCTACTTTGCTACTACTACTACTTCTTCATTTTCATTTTCTTCTTCTTCTTCTTCTACTTCTACTTCTTCTTCTACTTCTTCCTCTTCTTCTTCTTCTTCTTCTACTACTACTACCTCTTATTCTTCTTTAGCGGCTAAAACTAGTTGATAAGGAGTCGAGTTTTCGCGCTTAAAAGTGTCAGGTAGTCGAGCTTGATAAGAAAACAAGTTTACAAGTGTTCAAAAATAAAACGAAACCGTGAGAAAAAAAAAAATATATATATATATATGTTGTCTTATTTCTTTAAAATGTCTTCGTTTATAAAGGTAATATATTTTTAAAAAAAAGGTATTTGTATTGTCGATGGCTTACCTGACGTAAAAATGTTCGTCCTCTTCAAAAAGTTCATCGTCGATAACGGACAGTTGTATAGTTTTCTTGGTCTCGCCGGGTTCGAAGGTCAAGGTTCCTTTGGCACTGACATAATCAGAACCAGCCTCAGCAGAACCATCTTCGGTGGAATAATCAACGGTGCAAGCTTTGTTTAAATCTCCACCAGCTCTGGTAACACCGATCTCAAAAGTACCGACGTTCTCCATAACTGTATAATGTCCTGGCTCGAAGAATATTCTCATTGCGTTAATGTTTTCTATATCGATGCTCTCGGCCTCGGCTTTCTGTAACTCGGCCTTGACCTCGCTCAGATCACTTTGAGCTCTCTCGCTGATCTTTCTACTGAGATTACCCGCACCGACCATTTTCCTCGTAGCTTGGACCCTGTAGAATGCTCTACTCTTCGGTCCTTTACCTAATACCTCCTCGTGAGCCATAACTTCGAGTTGTTCCAACGGCAATGTTGGATTCTTCTTTCGTAATTCTCTCAATGTATTTATATAATCTCGCCGTGTTTGTTCAAACTCCCGCGCTTCCGGGGTATCAGCGTCGGCCAACCGATCGACCGTATGAAAGCTATCTTGTTGAGGTTTAATCTCGAGTTCTACTCCTCCGTCGGAGTCGCCAGCTTCTGCTTGAACGATCACACCTCTCTTGTTCATTCGGTAACCCTTTTGGAGATACTTGTAAATGAGCAAACGTCGATCGGCTACGTAGGCGGTTAACACGGTGGCCGGAAAAAATGTAAAGGTCAGTATACCTTCCCATACCTCGAGAACGCCCGGACTCGAGACCGCAAGTATCACATAGAGCCACACGTAAGCAAATATGCTCCACGTGGCCGTCACGAAGAAGACCCGTAGATGCTTAATCTTTCGCGTCTCGCCGTTTGGTATTACGAACACGCAGAGAGATATGATCACGAAAAGATTGTATGCGGCCGAGCCGACGATCGTACCAGGACCCAATTCCCCCGCTTGAAAGTTTTTCGCCCATATCTCGATGATAGAGAGAAGTATTTCGGGCGCGCTACTACCAAGCGCCATCAGGGTTAAATTCGCCACCGTTTCATTCCAAACTCGGACCACGACTATCGTTGGCTCTCTACCCTGTCGTTTTACAACCAATTCCTTTTCCTTGGACGTAATCACCTCGATCGCTGCCATAAACCGATCGCTGATGATCGACACACCGATGAACAGATAGAGAAGAAAAATGAAATAAATGAATCCTCGAAAGATCACGTCTATCAGTTGTAAGTTTTCCAAGGGTCTCCATATCGGTATCACCAAACCCGGTTCGCAGCGCACCGTATAATTTCCTGACATCTTGCTTCTTTCCCCTTCTTTTTTTTAACTTCTTTCTTCCTGTCCTTATTTCCTTCTCTTCCTTCCTTTTCTTACTACTATTATTTTGTTCTTTCCTATCGGTCGGATAAGGATGATCTCTTCGATACGCTATTCGACGCTCCTTCTCGCTTTACATTTCTACACGTTCCGAAATAATATTAGGTTGTTACAACTAAAGGGGGTTGGAGGGGGTGGCCCCTCCTCGTTGATAAGCAAACGACACTTTTACTCACACTCCCTAAAAACCGAACCAACGGACCGACCGACCGACCGACCGACGGATCGACCGACGGACCGACCAACGGACCGATCGCAAAAGATCGCGCACACCCGCGCGCGCGTTCCTCTTTGCGAAGCCCCGGACGAATGTCCCGATAGCCGGTCTCTTTTGTAGATGTGTATAAGTGTGTGTGTATATATATATATATGTGCTATAATGCACGCGTGTAAGAGTATGTGTGTGGTTTGTGTGTATTTAGTGTGCGTGCTGCGTGCGTGCGTAAGAGTGCGCGCGCGTAAGCGGGATTAGCTCGGTTACCAAGGACTACCCTCAGCTTTTTTACCACCGCGGCAGTTTGCTCCCATGGCGAAGAGAGAGAAAAAGAGATAGATAGAGAAAAGGGAGAGAAAAAGAGAAAGAAAGAGAGAGAAAGAATTTCTTCGGCCACGAGCCGGCAAAACCGTACGGGGCCGCGCTCGAACGAATACTGAAAGAGCTTGGCTATGCTGCTGCTGGTGTGTGAGCGAATGAACGAACGAGAAAGAGAGAGAGAGTGAGAAAGTGTGTGTGAGAGAGAGAGAGAGGACAGTGGGAGGTGGTACAGTCTCTGTCTCTCGACAATCCCGAGTGGCAGCAGTGGCGGCAAGCCTTCGTCGGCTGGCTTCCCTTGCGCGCTTTCGTTCCACTCGCATCTTATCGTCCCCGTCGCTCTTTCTGCGAGCCGCGAGCTTGCGGAGCCAACTCCCACCCTTTTTTCCTTCTCTCTTTCTATCTTTCTCACTCTCTCACCCTTACTCCCTCCGTTTCGTAGCGCGCGTCCCTGCCAACCCCTCCCGATGCGACGGAGAAAGCGCATGCGTTTCCCACCTATTCGTTCTCGTCCACCCTCTTTATATACCGGCCAAGCGACACCCAAGTCATTCGGCTCTGCTCGGGCCCGCTCGGCACTACTCGGTACCGCTCGACTCGAATTTTCCACCCGTTCGACGACGTCTACCACGACCCGCCCGGAACTCTTGCCCATTACTTACTTCGCCTTGTCTTGTCTACTACCTATCGTCTCCTAAACTTTTTTTTTTTTTTTTAACTTTCTTCCTACTTGATTTTCCTCTCGATAAATCCCCCCCCCCCTCCTTCTACTCCTTATCTTCATTTATCTTTTTATCATATTTTTCTCCTACCCTTCCGGCCCCTGCCGCTCATACTTTTTCAGTAAATTTTCTGTTGCGTGAAAAAACTATTTTACGACTTACTTTTTTTTTTATAATAGATTCGCATAAGAACATTAAAAGATGAAGAATTTTTTTTCTCTGTGTTATTATCGTTTTACTTCTATTCTTCGAACGAGGCGTAAGTTCTACGTTGACGCGAGATCTTTAATATCTTTTATATATATATATATATATATATATATATATTTAATATCGTTTGAATATTTATATAATAGATTTCGCGTATACTTTTATTGTATTATAAAATCTTCTTTTTTTTTTCATTTTATGTCTCTCTAAAGTAATTATACTTAATTGAAATTATACTTATACTTAATGATACAATCATAATGTATATACTATTTTCTTGTATACAAAGACAATGTTAACTTGGTAAAATAATTCGATAATTCGAATATAGAACATATTTTGTTTTCCTCTCTCGTCTCTTTTATAATACATAGTTTTTAAATAAAATTCAATAAAAAGTTAATTTTTATATCATCTTAAATTAAACAATTATGAAAGATGTTTCAAAATATATGTTATTTTCAAAGAAATTAAATGATAAGACGCGAAAAGCGTTTAAATTAAGTGGTTATTTTGTGTTATGTGTGTAACATTGTGTGATTCCACCTTAATATTTTCAAAGAATGAAGATACCGAAGATACGAATCTACAGAGATCTACATAAACCTACGAATTAAGATTTATAGATACAATATTTCATTGATAACATCTAAAGTATTAAAATTTTGTAGCATTGTACAGAGTCGATAATTTACCGACCTAGAACGATACAAAATTGACCCTACATTATCATCAGTGTTACAGAGTCGATAACTTACCACCTTATATCAAAAAAGTTAACAAAAAAACGTGCTTGATTTAAAGCTTCTCTTTTTAAAGAAAATACAGTTTTTTCGATAATTTTCGAAATCCATCTATTCGTTTAAAACTTTACTTAACAAATGATTAACCAAATTCAATAAAAAATTATCATCTGATTCGCATTGACGTAAACACTGTTTCTGATATTTTTTTTTATACATGTAGAAAATAGAATATTCTTTTTTTTTAACATTTCATTGAAAATCATTATTATCTAAAATTAAAAA